TCATCTAGCAACGCTTCTTAGTGTGAAAATCCACTTTGCATTGATTTACGTGTCAGCGGGCCCCCTGCAGTCATAGGAATTGCAAAAGGAACCCTGTGCCTTCGAATGCCACAGAAAGCCCTAATGACATAAGCTCCTTGGTCATCCCTTCAGTAACTTCTCCTCAGTCAATTGAGTTGGAGGATGGAAACTTTCACCCCACAGTTTATAGCATCTTTATGTAGAGATTTAGGGAAAAGCTGAGGTTTGCAGTTTTTCAGAAGATCCCCAGTGACAGACATCCTGCAAACTCGAAGTAACTTGCTTTAAAGAACTTTCTCTCTGCAGCGTGTGTTACTTAATTTGCATCAGATGAAAATGCAGCTTGTTTTAATTTACGGGAGAGAAGCCCACATGTGTCACGTCCCATGAGAATGACAACATTTTGTCACCCTGCATGTGACATCAGGTATGCTACATTAGCGAGTAAGACATGGAGAGACAACAGACACTTATTTTGTCTGTTATACCAGTGTAATAAAAATGAAAAAGGTGTCTTAGTGCTACAGATGTGACACCCATTTCCCTCCCCGGGTAACCTACCTTAACAACACAATCACCTATAAACAGGGCTGATCCTTTCGCCCATCAAAGTCACAGGGACTCAGCAGGGTGTAAAGCTCTGTTTGAAGAAACTGCTTTGTAGCAACATAGCACAAAGCTGAAAAAAGCCAGGAATTAAATGCTAACTTCATTAAAGCTCATGGTAAAATTCCCACGTAAGCCTTACAGAGCCAAGTTTTCAGCTCAAGTGTCAAAAAACATTTGTGAAAGACCTGAAAGGCCCATTATCCTGCAGGAAGTTTATTGCAACAGGAACAGTAAACAATAATGAAGACTCTTATCATATAGGTGAGACTATTTATAGTCTTTCACTAAATTAAACCCCTCTCCTAGACTGCTAGCACTCTTTATTACATATTGCCACACAGCCCCTTTTCCCAAACTCCTCCTCTACCATAAAAGCAAATTATGCCGTTAACACAAACTTAATGCTTTTGCTGCCAGAATATGTGAAGGATGAAGATGGACAGGCAAGACAGACACATTTATCTGCCCCGGTGTGCGTGGTTCAACTTGACAGATCACTCTGCACTCCAGCCAGGTCCATGAAGCCCAGCCCTGCTCTAGAGACTTGCCCAATTCTGTACCCGTTGAACCTCCGTGACACTGAGCCAAGGTCAGTATCAGCAGGAGCTCTGAATGCACTGAGGGAGCAACCAGTAATATTAGTAATAACGGGCACAGACTGCTGAGAACATCTTAGGAGAGAACATTGCCCTAAGGAAGGCCCTTATTAAAAGTCCAAAATACTAATGGCAGTGAAAGGCAGGTGCCTTAATGTGATTTAACCCAGTGCTCTCATGAAACACTTCTTCTTTCAGCTCGGCAAAACACCCGGTGTTCTTAAGATCCAGGGCACAGCCAAGACTGTAGCGAGATCGCATCAGTCTTTGTGAGCCTCAGATAAGATCTTTACTCGATGTATTTTCACTGTGCTTTAAAAGAAAAAAGAAAAAAAAGATCGCAGAGAGTGCACTGAGATTACCCTGAAGATAGATCTGTGTGTCCTGAGGACTTGTCCCTTTTTACCAACAGCAGCAGTTGGTCTAACAACAGACCCAGCTTCTCCTCGTAGGCTTTGTCTCTCCTCGAGTGAAGCTCAGCTGCCGTGTGGGCAAAGAACCTGCAAAGCAGCTTAGATAGAGGTTACCCACTATCTAAAGCTTCAGAAAGCAACTGCAACCTACTACTGTCGAAAAAGTAAAGTATGTCGCTGCTCTAAAACACTTCACGAGCCCCAAGGTGTAAAGTCGCCTCCAAAAGAGAGGTTCTCTGGGCAGAGAGACACCGTGGGACCCCTGCATTGCTTTGTCAGTTGCTCCATCCTTCTCAAGCTGGGAGAAGAACCTTGGACAGGACAGCCGAGAAATCCCACCCCTCCATACAGTGCACAGAAGAGCCATGGCCAGCCCGTTCATTTCTACTCAGCTCTTTGATGCTTTGCTCATGACTGACTCACCGTGAGTGCTTCACCAACAATTTTAACCTGATTTGTAGCCAAAGCTGGGGTGAAAAGGAAAGGTTCAGAACATTCCTAAACAGAAAATTTGTAAATAATACTGAAAACTGAATATATGATTGCTTTTAATACCAGGCTGGCCACCACACTAAATCTGGGCACCATGTTCCCACTATGCCAGTTCTGACATTCCACATTTTAAAATTATTGCAATTTTGTCTATAAATTTTGTTATTCAGATCCACCTCTGGCAACTCTTGAGTAATTTGTCTCCACCTATGTTTCATTTTGAAACCATTGCTTCCATTTCATCTGAAGAAGAGCCTATCTGAAATACCTGTCTAATTTTTCCAGCTGTACCTGTTGCCGAATAGAAGATATTGCCTCTATTTTAACAACTAACCTCCTGGTTGTTAAGAAAAGATTTATGGTCAAGAAGTGCAATGGGATTGCATTAAGTGTGAGAAATCTCAAAAGAGAGTGTTCTTTAACCAGGAAAGGTGATAGAAAGGAGTTTTTTTGAGGATGCTGAAGATGTATTTTAAAAAAACAATCATCAGTCTTTCCTTCATCCCGTTCCTCAACTTGTCAATGAAAAATCTCTTAGAAACCACTGAATCCAAGTATAAAAATGAAACCCAACACACAGTCAGCAGACCAAATCCTTGCCTTCTACTGAGCACTGCCAGGAGATATTTGAACCAGATTTGTTCTACTGGATACCATTAAGTTTGGATTAAATAGTGGTGAATCCAATGAAAATTACTATTTCTATAAAGAACAAATAAGGTTATGTTCTGCATGACAAAAGTAAGAACTAAATCATGTTTTGGGGCACAACACTGACCACTTACGTGAGTTAAAAACAAATCCTTAATCTACTTTTCGCTTTGTTGACCAATGGGGCAGATTTGCCGCTGTAGCATCATGCTTAGGCATCATCAATGGCAGAAAAAAAGCAGAGTGAATGACCAGATCAGCATGATTCATGCTCCCAAATTAAACCACATTAAAAACTGGAGTGGGATACATGCTTTTAAAGTATAATGATCGAAAGCTGCCTGAGCTTTTCCAGTTTTTGACATCTCAAAGCTTTACTGAGCTTTCACCAGGGAGGATATGTGATTTAATTAGAGCATGACACAAAAGCGTGGCAATCCCAAACTGTGTTCCCAGTTCTGCCACCGACTTGCCGCATGACCTTGGGAAAACAACTGTGATGCCCCAAGCCCCTGGTTACGCCACATTCAAAGAACAGGTTGGGAATGTCTTTGTGTCTCCTCTTCCACAAGGAGCTGTGAAGTGTAATTAAATTCCACCCAGTGCTTTGAAATTGTCAGAGGGAAAGTGCTATATAAACCCATATTAATTAAGCTTGCATTTAATAATCTGGTAAATAAATACACTATTGTGGGAAACTAGCTCTTAGTGATGGTGCAGCTACAGAGTTTGACACACCATCAGCTGCTGAACACAGAACAACATGAGAGGGAGGAAGCCCCCCAAAAAGGATCGATGGCTTAATACAAGGCTGGCATTTTAATATACAACGTTTTAAAACAAATTCTAGGTCTTCATCCCACTCCTGCTCCTGGGGAAGTCAATGAATCACTAATTCACTACCTGCCATCAAAATCAACTTCAAGCCAGCTCACCAGACCACATTAGTATGAATGTGAGGTAAATGAAGAATTG